AAACATATAAACACTTACCCAGTGGTAGTTATGACTCCCGTTTTTTTCGTCCACATCAAATAACCACTGGCTCTCGTTAGCTAATGAATATACTACTTTAGCATTTACACCAGCATCTGCGTCAGTTGCTTTGACTGTTAACACCGTAGTTCCAGCAACAGCGTCCTCTCGAATTCGGGCAATGTATCTTGGCCTTTCGAAAATCGGATCGCTGTCATTCTGATCTCGCACAGTTACTGTAAGATTGCATGAACCACGCAAAGATACTGGGCTTCCACGATCCTGACCTGATATAAGAAGCTGATAAACTGACTGTGATTCGCGGTCTAACGGTCGAGCACTTAGAACTCCGCTGTGAGGGTCGATGCTGAATTTATTCCCGGAGTTGCCAGCTAAGAAATAATATAGTTAGATATAACTTTTAACATAGAATTGTTTTATTGATATTAAGTAACCATTTAATAAAGAATACCTGTAATGCTGTACGTGATCTGAGCATTTGGACCCTCGTCTTCATCGATAGCGACCATCGTTCTTATAGGAGCTAAATCACTATTTTCTGGAACGGCTAAGAGCCTGCACGCAGCTTGTGTAAATCTCGGAGCATGATCATTAATATCCGTTACAGTTAATAATAAAGTGGTAATGTCGAACACTGCTCCACCAATTCCACTATCAAGTGCATAAATAGGAATGACATGGAGAGAGCGTGTTTCGCGATCCAAAGGACCCACAGTTGATACCGTTCCCTTTTGAGAATCCACAGTGAACAGACTGTTTGCTGAACCCGATGGTATTGAATAGAATACTGTTTGATTTAAGTTTGATGCGCCTGAAATAGTAAATAGTAAATTTATTTAGGATGATTTAATACAATATTATATATGAACAAAACTATTAAAAGGTAACTACTTTTGCTGTGACTCGTGCAACAAAACTTCCACTACGTGCGTCTTCTGGTAAGCTGGCCCTATAAACTGCTTCTGTAAATTTAGGTGGGCCTCCTGCACTTGTTATAATAGTTTCATCATCCGCGACAAATCTCAAAGTCAAAACAAACTCATCACTGAGCCTTTTCGGAACACCGTTGTCGCTTGCGACTAATATTATTCTAACTTGAGCAGGCAATGGAGCTGAATTGGCGCGTTTAACAACTCCAGTTACAGAATCTATAGTAAATAGTTCAGGCATATCGCCCCCATTTATGGCATACGTTATCCTTCCATTTTCTTTCGAATCCTTATCCTGCGCTTTGACTCTGAATAATTCGCTTCCGGCAGTACCAATATCGCGTACTGTGATCAAAGAAGTATCCGGCCACACAAAATAAGGTGAATTATCATTTACATCTTTTATGGAAACTTTTGTTGTGACGGAAGTTTTCAGTCTTTCAGAAATATTACTTGATTGATCTATAGCTTCTACAACTAAAATATATTCTTTAATCGCTTCATAATCCAAAGACTGTGTTAACGTCAAAGCGCCAGTGAGAGAGTCTAATGCAAATACATCAATTGGATATTGCTTTTTGAGATTGTATTTCAGGGCACCGTTTCTCCCTACATCCGCATCGCTTGCCGTGTAATTAAAAATATTGGAACCCAACTTGGCATCTTCTGATATCGATATTTTGAGAAGGTCAGAACTCCATTTTGGAGCATTGTCATTGACATCCAGTAATTCAACTAACACGGATACTAAAATACTATTTCTTCCACCGTCGGCCACAGCTCTAACTTCAAATCGATGTTCAATATTTATTTCACGATCTAGCGGGCGAGCAACAATTATAGAGCCGCTAAGGCGATCGATTTCGAATGGCACATTATTAGAAGATGGTGTCATGGTGTAGATAATTCGACTACCATCAGTGATTGAGTTCTCAAAATCTTCATTGTAGGAAAACATTGATGAACCAGCAATTCCCACAGACCCTATTACATAACCGATAGCGGTATCTTCACGAACCTAAAAATAAAGGAAAATGAGTTTGTCTACTATTAAGAAGAAAGTCATTTGTATTTATGTATTGAATGCATTAGTTTTTTAAAAATCCATAAAAACGTACTCACCTTGAAAACAAGACTGGAACTTGAAAATGTCGGTCTATCATCATTCATTTCCAAGACTTCAACATTAATCAAGCGCACAGTTCGCCGCGGCGGTCTACCTCGGTCGGCGGCCGCAATTGCAAGACGGTACATGGCACGAACTTCTCGAACCAAAGCAGTTTTTGTACGCAAAACTCCCGACAAAGCATCCAATGCAAAAGCTGAAGCACCTAATAAATAAATTTTATTAATATTAAATTGTAAAAAATATATAAAACACTATTGTTAAAATCTACTCGTAAAAAAGAAGAGATAAAATAATACATATTTTGGTACACTTACATTCAAATAAATTACAATCTTCTTATTGCATTGATCTTACCTTCGCCATCTTCAAGAATATAAACAATAGTAGCATTCTCTCCATTGTCTCGATCGACCGCTCTCAATCGCGCGACTACCGCTCCGGTTGTCCGCCTTCCCTGACGGCAATAGAATCACCGGGCGGGTCGACGATTTCTGGCGCGTTATCGTTTGTGTCAGTCACAAGGACACGCAGTGAAACGCGGGCAAGCCGCGCGGGAATACCGCCGTCGCGGGCTTCGACGTGCAGTTCATGTGTTGAACAACGTTCGCGATCCAGAGGTTCCCGGGTGCTTATCTCACCTATGAATGGACACAAATATTTAAATAACGTTAATTACATTAAGACAGCGGTTTCCAACCTTTCCTTCCTTGCGCCCCCCTTTCGAATGATAAAAATATTGCGTCCCTGTCCCATTCTTATTTTTCTAACAATTTAATTTAAATATACTTAACATAACTGAAATTATGCCAAATAATACACAGTATTATAAAAAATATACATACAAATATAACTGAATAAGAATTTTCTGTTTCACATAAGTAAGATCTCACAAATGGTAATAAAATTTCTAAAGCATTATTTGCCAAAGTAGGAAAATCGTCCTTTACTGGTAACCAAAACAATATATTTTCGTCCTGAAACATCTGCGTCAATATGCTATCATTAGATAAATCAATTATCATTTTCTGCTCTGCTATTGAATTACCAAAATCATCATGTTTCTCAATGACAAATGGATTTCTAATCCATTCGTATTTGGACGTAATTAGATAAAGTAATGCGAAAATTAGTTTCGTACACTAGTCATATGACTGATATATATAATAATAAGATCTTTACTTACTTCTATTTCATCAGTAACACAAGTAATTTTAAAAGTGTAAAACATGTTAAAGTTATAAAGCTATTTGATGCTAGCTATACACAGTTCAAATTTTTTCATAAGCCGTAATCTTGTCTTTATGAACACAAGCACGAATTTGAGATCCTTGCATTGATTTAATTAAATTGCTAAGTCTTTGAAAAATATCAACTAAATACGCAAATTTTGCGAGAAACTTTGTGTCCTAAAACAAGATTGCTCCGTCTCTTTTGTTATCAGCAAGAATTATAGCAGTTTCTTTTTTGAGTTCAAACACTCTTAGAAGTACTTTAAGTATTTTGCTGATTTGTTTTTGACACATACTCAGCATTTAAAAATAATATTTTTGAAACAGCTTCGCGCCCCCTCTGGAACGGTATGGCGCCACCCCAGGGGGGCGCGCCCCGCAGGTTGGAAATCACTGCATTAAGAGCTAAATAAGAATTTAAAATATTTAATTATTATATTTATCAATTATAGATTAGGAATACACTTAGACGGAAACTAAAGGATTTCGTTTGTAATATGTGTGTGTGTAACCCAATTGTCAATGCACAAGTTCCCTTAGTTATTAAACGTTTTCTAGTTATGTCTTCATCCATGAGAAGTCGCAAAAATTAATGTAATCCTTAGCCATGCGTTATGTAGAAACTAAGAACTAATGACGTTTTCTTTTATTTGATCCGTAAATATTCGACGCGATTGTCAAACGACTCTTTCGCGAATGACAACATAATGAAATTCTGATTTGTCATGGTTATATAAAAGGAGTATTATTCCAGACGATACGATATGAGGGTACCTCATTTTGCGTAATATGTTTTTGACAAGCGTGCTTCCTTCATTGTTGTTTTTCATCTCTGGGTACGTAATATGCAAGAAGTCTTCTAAAAACCGTTGAGATCCTTGCATTCGACAGTTTGCTGATAGTTCAATCTAAACTGATTTGAACGTTGTCAAAGACATATGAGTTACTGTCTATTGTCAGTTTGCTGAAGACGATGTAAATTAATTATTTAATTTTCTCATGACGTGCAAAAACGTGATTCATGTGAGTAAAAATAATAATTCGATAAATGCGACTTTTAAATGGTCGACATTATTTACTCTTTTGCTATCACATTAATTTTGCGATCTATTACTAATTTTTCTGAAAACTTCTCAATTACATTATTTCACATAACAATAACTTTAATAATACATAATCAAAGCAACAATAACAATTTAAATATTTATGTGATCTGTACAGTTTGGTGAAGATGTTCACTAAGGACGATTACAGTCAGTGCTGGATTTACAGTAGGGGCAGTCGGGGCTAGTGCCCAGGGCAGCAAATTTTCTGGGGCGGCAAAATTTGGAAATTAAGGAAAAAATTGTATCTATACATCGAAGAACAAGTATTTAATGCGTGATATTTTTTGCAATCATACAGTTATTTTAGTTTTAGAAAAATGAGGCATAAAAATGGGCGGCATTTTTGACTTTGCATTACAGTATATATAATAATCTTACCTGTAGTAGGATGAATTTGGAAGCTAGTATTCGTTGGTATTAGGCTATAACTTATAGCAGCATTTGAATCTACATCTGCATCTACAGCATGCACAACACCAACAATAGTACCACGCCGTTGATTTTCTTCGATCGCGAATTCATATGAATCCCAAGAGAATCTAGGAAAAGAATTAACTCTCGTATATGAACAAAATAAAAATTCATATGAATAAAACTTACAGCAAACCTAAAATTTTTCTAGAAATTTTTTATCATTATACTAAGCTGATGGTTTCAGAAAAAAATTTAAATCATTAAATTCCATCTAATTATGACCCTACAAGCGCGCGTTAACTCGTGACCGTTTAACAAAGTGAATATTAAAAAAAAAATCATTTATTTCTAATGAGTATTTTCTATTTATATAAATTCAAATAAATTCTTTTATACTTTATATTACCTCGGATCATTATCGTTGATGTCCGTCACTATCACAACTATCTTCGTGGTGGCCGTGAGGGCCATGCCAGCGACCCCTGCATCCGTAGCGGCTACGATAAGCTCGTAGCGGTCCTTCGATTCGCGGTCCAAGCTCCCTCGTACGTACAACCATCCGTCCTGACCACCCACATCAAAGGGGCACATTTGGCCACCCGATAGATGATCATTGATCGCCACACCGCCTACGCCCGACAGCCGATAGGAAAGACGAGCATTGTTTCCGCTATCCAGGTCGACGGCAGTCACTTGTAATAACTAAAATAATGTTATAAATAAATAAATAAATAATTAAATTTCGACTCCTAACATATAACTCTCATGACGCGGGTTAAGTTCTCGGTTTTGTATTCATAAAGTTTAACCCTCGCTACTCGGACGTACGATCGTTCGTCGGTGCGCTGCGCTTGGAATATTATATACCTAATAGTGATATACACACATGTTAACTTATTTCCTTTGTATCGGTTTTATTAAAAATGTGCTAATATTGCTTTTAAATATAGTTACTGTAATAACAAAAAAGCAAATTTAACAAAATAAAAAATAATTATGTTAAAAACTATGCGATAGTGGTTTATTATTGTTAAATAATGTATGGTTCATTATTACTACATAATAAGCATTAAGGGGCACAACTAGTGTAACCGCCTAAAAAAAACATGATTTTTGGGAATTTATATTAAAAAAACTACTTTCTCAATCATTTCAAAATTTTAGGAATATATTTACACATGTTTTAAGAATACATAGTAAAATTTTTGCAGAAAAAAATTAAATATTTTTTCAGTTATCATCGATCTCCAACGGCGCGACAAAAAAGGCCCTTAACTGCTGCAGTGATTCCGGCCTTCTACGTGGATGAAATAAAAAAAAAAAAAAAATTCTCGTTAAACTAGATAATATTGTCTGTGAAATGAACTACGATGAAAAAAATAAATAAAAAATTGACAAAATAGCGGCGTTTTTTAAAAAAAAGTCGAATTTTACCAAAAATTTTGGTCGTTTTTTGACTACCAAAATTCGATTTTTGATCCGATCAAAAAATCGATAGTTCATTTTACGGAGAACTATATAAAAAACATGTAAAAAAAAATTGATAGTGATTGGATTATTCGTTTTTGGGTAATCACTGCAGCAAATTCGGTAAATGCTGTTTCGAGAAAAACGCGTTTAAAGATAAAATGATCGTTGTACTATATACTATATATATATATATACTTTCTAAATGGCTGTAACTCAAAAACTATTTGAGATATCGGAAATTTTTATATATTATTTTTAAATGTGTAATCTACCAAAATATGGAAAAAAAAACAAAAATCGATTTTTTTGAAATTTCACACTAGTTGTGCCCCTTAATTTTCAGTTATGGATATTTTTTCCTAATTATTTACATTTTTTGCAGAATTCATACATATGTAATTCAGACTAGATTTTCGAAAAATTCTATATTATTCGGATAAGAAGGCGATAAGAAAATATACCGTTATATAGCCATATCGTTAATTTCGTATAGTATCTAAAGAATTTTATAAAAAATAAGTTTTTACATAATATTGTATATCTATTTTCACATAATATTGTATATCACATAATATTTTATACTGTAGGGACGCGTTTCTATACTCATGCGGTATATAAATGGTATCACACATTCGGTGAAATGTTTAGATAAACACGTCTCCGTTCATTGTAAGTGATTGAAAAAAAGGACAGATATACTTATTTACCTACTACACAAATACACAATGGGCTTTGAATGTACCTATTATGTACTCAGCTAAGAGAGCTCTCTTGGGTCTAATTAAATTTCAATTTCAATAATGTGATTTTGAAGAGACTATTAATCACAAGTTCACGAACCGATAGCTGGGTAAATGTAATCACCGCGTTTATAGACAATAATATACGAAGAAACACCACTTAAAATTTCTCCGGACGTAAGATCTTTAAATCATTTTATATTTAAAACTAAAATTAGTGCACGATTAGAATAATAGAGATGTAGCCATAATATTTTTACTAGAAATATGTAGTATGAAAAATTTATCATATCCATTACACAAACCTTTGTGTCAATTGCTGCAGATTCTTCAATTCTCACTATATATTCCGGTCTCTCAAAAATCGGAGCATTGTCATTAACATCCTGCACTTCTATAAAAATTGTCAGATTTCCAGTGAATTTTTTCTCTCTACCCGTATCCTCCTCTGCAGCATTTACTACCACGACGTAACGCTGTGTCGATTCGTAGTCCAATGGTTGTGTTAAAGTCAGGTAACCACGGACTGGATCTACACGAAATGGTCCGGCCATAGCAGATGACAGTTTGTACCTCGGAGAGCATTGTCGATCAATGGTAATGGCATGTGCTACGTAGAAAGGGACTGCTGGGGATACGACTGCATTCTCGGGGACAGATATGCGCACGGACGCATGCTGGAACCGGGGCACACACTTGTGTACAGGATCAACCTTAATAATAATCTGTAAAAAATCAAGGGTCATAAATATATTGTAAATATAAGAAACGAAATCACTTTTGATATAATTCTAAATTACCTGAGCGTATGCTGTATTAGGGGTCCCTTCTGTTTGCACTGTCAATATTATCAAATCTTTTGTTTTTCCATCTAAAACTTGCCTCTTTGTTATAGCTCCGGATTTAGGGTCAATTGTAAACCACCCTTGATTTTCATCGACAACGAGTGAATATCGAACTGATGGTGCACCTATTAAATAAAAAATATACATTATTTAATTGATGTTCTTATAAAATATTGTATATGAATGCTTAACTTAACAAATTAAAAATTATTAAAAACGACGACAAATTTGGGTTTATTACGTTTTTCAGTAGTAGACTTCAAAGTCTGCATTTTTATCATCGTAAAGTGTTATTAATGACATTTGGTGACTATGGTAACAATTGACCTGTTAGAGTAGGGTAGGGCGGGGCTAGTTGAGCAAATTTTTACTTAAACGGATGTAGCTCCCCAATGAAAAGTCTCAATAAATTGCTATACGGCTCAATGGATTTGTTGTTTATCGCTTAACAAAAAGTGTTAATACTATTTTATGGTAATATGTAAAATTTAAAAGCTACAGCTGTTTAAATGCAAAAAGTCAAGTATGCTCAATGTACCCCATAAGTGGGACAAGTTGAGCACTAAGAATAATGAAATCATAGGTTCAATGTCGATTAGTGATGAAATAAAATAAGTTTTTAATAACCAGTTCTATATTTATAGTCTTTATTGACAGAGAAAACAAAACTTATAATAATTTGCTTTGAATAACTAACGAAAAGTAGAATCAACAAAACAATATCGTATCTTAGGAAATATTTTACCATTATATTCAGTAATTTTGTTTAAAATCATTATTTCTTTATATTATTACTCATAGAGTTAGCTTAAATCTTAAAAATAATAATTAATTTCTGGAAGTTAATGGTAATTATCTTAGTGACAGAACAAGTTTAGCCACTATGCTCAACTAACCCCAACTCGGAATTTCACAATAAAAGTGAGTTTATAAAAAAACCGTGAGAATTATACCTAGAATCTCTGTGCATATTAAAAGTACTATAAATATATGGAAGAATGCCATTTACCTGATTCAAAATAAATAACATTTGACTAATTCATCATGACGAAAACTCGTGATTTCGAAAACGTGAAACTTTTTGGTCTCAAAATAAACAAAACGCCCGTGAGCCTGACTCATTTGTCCAGCGGCCACTAGCGAACGCTGGATGTTTATTTCTCCCAAACCTCTATCTTTCCGCCATATAATGCCTAAACGGGCGGTGAATAGTTTTCGAGATATTTCGATTGCTCAACTTGCCCCTATGCTCAACTAGCCCCGCCCTACCCTACGCAAGAGCTAAATTATTAAGTTTGCTCTACTCTTTCAACAGCACATAAAAAATAGTAACTAAAACAATACATTAGAATCTCACCAATCCGGCACTATTAAAAACGAGAGGGTGCTGGACTATTGAGATGTTTGGATTACTGGATTATAGTAAAAACTGTTAGAGCGTATTAGAAATAACGAAAAACTTTCCAGCTGATTTCCATAAAATTGTCCAGAGTTTCAGTCGCTGAGGGTCTCGGATTATTGCAGGTGCCAAAATAGCGAGATTTTTGTGTATGTTTAATAACAAAATTTTAATTACAGTTGATTTATTTCCTAAACTCTCATCTTTTGAATTAAATCAACACATTTAAAAACAATATCATTAAACCGCACAAGTGATCTTAAATAGATCGTATAATCCTTCTGTTTTCCCCATTATTTCTCTGTTCCCGATGGCGGCAAGATGGCCACGGCGGTCAATTGAATGGCCGCGCATTCGCATCCGGCGTCTCAGTGAACCCGTTGCGTAAGCCAGATCATCGCCAATCGCGGAGTCGCAAGGCGTGGCCAGGCGCTTTTGCGCACATTGACAACGGAAGGAACAGAAGATAAAGTAAAGGAGAACAATAATAGCGATTGCGAAAGCGAAAAAAATGTGACATTTTTTCGGAATTTAATGCAATAGTATATATGATATTTTCATAAATCAAAATGAAATTTACAACCCTCTTTATGAGAAATGTTGCATTTATATTAAAAGTTTGCCAATTTCAATACTATATGAAAAATTTGAAGTCTATTATTATGTATTTATTAGACAGAGCATATCATCAAGCGTAATTACAAAAAAGTTTTATTATCTTGTTAAATGAATAAAAACTAGTGGTACATGGCATTGTGCCTTAAGGCAAATTGCTGGAACCTTCGGTAGGTATCGTAATTAATTTTTAATTGAAATTTTTGAAAATTAAAAAAGGGTGATTTTGTTTGAAAATGTTGAATTTTGTTGATTATTTTAGTATTTTAACATTTTTAAAATTATTTAAAAAATTTGAAATTTTTTGAAAAACTTGAAAAAATTCGTCTTTTTCGAACATTTTTATTTATCTTTGAAAAATTTGAATTTTTAACTTTCTGTAGGGTTCGTTATAGTAATCGCAAAAAACCAAAAATAAAAATTCTTATACATTTTTACGTTTCAAAGGTTTTTGAGCATACTAGCATAACTCAGAAAAAATAAATGTATGTACGAGTATGTATGTTTGTGTATGTATGTTTGTGTATGTATGTTTGTGTATGTATGTGCAGATACACGTTGATGACTTCGAGACCATTAACCAAATTAAATATTTTGGAACATTTAAATCAGAAAGTCTCGCAAAAACTAAATTGCCATTTTTTGCACTTCTTGCCCCGTATCTCCAAAACGGCTGGACGTTTCATCTTCAAAAATTGTATCCGCACCTACACACATACACACAAACACCCATTTAATATAAACTTCTGAAATGTGAAGATATGCAAAAAATTTATTTTTCGATTTCTTCGAAATTACTATAACTTACCTATATAATGTGAATTAAGTCACTTGGATAAAATAATATAATTTATACTAAATTCTTCAACCAGCGTTGTACTAAAGTTAAGTCTGAATATAGTTACATCTGAATTCTAAGTTTTCCTGGACATAAATAATTAAAGTCTTCTCAAATTTCATTTACAAGGCTACAAAGAATATTAAATTAAAAATTTTTTGCGTCTCTTACTATTAAAATTGGATACAAAACTCTGAATATAATATTTATAATACATAGGAATATGAATATATGATAGATTCTCAAAGTTTACAATAAGAACCCATAAAAAACTACTAACAAAGACAGAACAAAAAGGTGCGTTAAGAAACATTCAAACCCAAAATCTTAAATATTAAAAAATTATATTTATAAATCTAAAAATATCTCAATTGCTGCTCAAAGCTAATATTATACAAAAATAAAATGCAAAAAAAAAGCCAATCCACCGCGCTTAGTTGAGTCATGCGTGTTTATCGCAAACTTAACGGGAAAACGCGTTGCTCACCAATGAGGGAAATGAGAAATATAAACGCGAAAGCTGGCTCACGATTTACTTCATAACATTTTTTTACAACTTATTTAGACTAGATGCAACTTAATGAAGGCTTTGCAAACACTAATAGCTGGCTTGTAAACATCAGAACATGATTTACCACCGATAAAAGTTTTCGAATCAACCATTTCTATTCGATGTGCTATTTTTACCGAGATGGTATTATTAAACGATTTACACTTAGAACATGCCTGCAATAGATCTAAAGTTTATAATACTGAAGTAAATAGAGTGTGGCAACTAAGAGTTAACTGTATCAAATTACCAGTTTGTGAGTGTAAATCATTTGCCATATAACGTTGTTATATCGGCATTAATTAAAAAAAATATTGGTAACTAATTACATTTAAGTATTACTAATATCGAAAGACAGAAGATTAAATGTTATAACTTATGTATAAAAATTATGTTGAATCAAAACAATCTTTACCTTGCGCTTTGATGGATCCCACCAGGCTACCAATCGGCAAACCATCTGTCACCGTAAACTCGTACCGCGACTTATCAAAAACCGCCGCTTGCGTATTTGCCGCCAGAACATCTACTGTTACAAGAGCATCCTTTTGGGACTTCAAACCGCCTCCGTCCACAGCCGTTACATTAAAAACGTATCTTCCTGGTGTTAAGGCTGCATTGGCGGTAACATCTGCTGTCGCAGGATCCACTCGAAATGGTAATTGCTGCAATCCACCGGTACTCGACTGTGATATAGTATAAGTTACAATGCCCGATCTCCCTGTATCGGCATCAGTCGCTTTTGCGGTCAAAATAACGCCTAGAGAGGATGGAGAACGCGTTTCGCGCACAGCTGCGCGGTAATGCGACGATTCGAAGGCGGGATGATTGTCGTTGATGTCCGTGACATGGATGGCAATTATGGAGGTAGTACTAAGACCACCTGAAAGAAAATAACATTGAATATTATATTTATATTACTATTATTTCAACGAACTATAGCGATTCTTTTAACCCTTTCAGCGCTTACCGTCTGCGTGAATGTGCATAATTTGCGGAGTGTCGGTATTCGAACGACAGTACTATATTTGTCGTCTATTTGTAGATATTGTTCATTTATTGATTAGTTTACTGATTTATTAATATATAGAAATAAAATGTAAAAAAATGACTCGACCACAATTTGTCGAGAAAACATTTTTGCCCATGATTTTTTTATATTCTTGTTTTGCCTTTTGCACTAAATTTTTTTTTATTTGAGTATTTTTGGTCTGCTATAGTTACAATAGAAAATGTATTTTATTTGAGTAGCTTAGTATGATATTTATACATAACAGAAAAAATAACAAAAAGCCATTTACATTCGA